TATATATATAATATATATATATATATATATATATATATATATATATATATATATATATATATATATATATATATATATATATATATATATATATATATATATATATATATATATATCTATATATATATATATCTATATATATAGAGATATATATATATATATATATATATAGAGATATATATATCTCTATATATATATAATATATATATATATATATATATCTCTATATATATATATATATATATATATATTTTCTATCCAATATAGATATATATAAACTCTCTCTCTCTCCGTATAAATATATAAATTTATATCAATCTCTCTATCTTTCTAACTACTCCTCCTTGCTCCAGTCCAGTTCCTCCGGAGTAAACAGCACAAATATTTCAATCTTTCTGTGACGTATTGAAGCAGAAGCGCTCCTCACTGAGTTCACTGCGACTGTCTGCTGCCATCTACAGGCCACGGTCTGTAACTACAGCTCAGAGCAGCAGCAGCAGCAGCAGGTCTGTGATTACAACAACAATAACAGCAGTATACATTTTTAATTAGTTTAAGTCCAACATGTGAAACACACACACGTCCACAGATGAGATCAGGACAAACCATAAGACTAGAAAAGATGTATAAATACATTTTTGATGATTCCAGAGACAGAAAGAGAGAGACAGAGAGAGAGAAACCAGAGAGAGAGCAGACAAATCAGAGAAAGAGAGAGACCAGAGTGAGCAAGGAGAGAAAACAATGAGAGACCAGCAAGAGCAGAGAGAGAGAAAACAGAGACCAGAGAGAGAGAGAGCAGAGAGAGACCAGAGAGACACCTGAGAGACCAGCAAGAAAGACCAGTGAGAGAGACGTGAGGGAGACTAGAGAGAGACCAGAGAGAGAGACTGGAGATACCAAAGAGAGAGAGAGAGAGCAGGGAAAGACCAGAGAGAGAGACAGGGAGAGACCAGAGCAAGATAGACCAGAGAGAGAGAACAGAGAGAGAGACCCGAGAGAGAGACCAGAGAGAGAGACCAGAGCGAGAAAAACAGTTGATTTGAGAATATCAAACAGAACACAACAGGAGCTTTGTACAAACATGCTGACAATAATAAAAGTCTGTATTCGTCGACCAGAACTGAAGCAGACGCATGCGGACACAACCACGGATCATGCAGCGTGCAGTAGGAGGCGGGGTTACCTGGAAGTGGGCGTGGCTTTGAGGATAGAGGGAAGAGAAAGGTGGAGCACGAACATCACTGATTGGCTCCCCGTCCGGACCAGGCCACGCCTCTTCGTGGAGCAGTCCGTCAGGAGAGTCATCCTACGGTCACAGACACACTCAGTACTACTACTACTACTACTACTACTACTACTACTACTACTACTACTACTACTACTACTACTACTACTACTACTACTACTACTACTACTACAACTACTACGACTACTACTACTTCTGCTACAGCTACCGCAACTAACCCTAATCCATTACTTTTGATAAGACGCTGTGTCAGATAATATTACCCTGGCTTGTGGAGTGCCCCAGGGGTCGATCCTGGGACCTCTCTTGTTCAGTCTCTACGTGTTGTTGCTGGTCCAGTGAATACACAGTAACACCGTGTCCAGTCAAAGCTCTGCAGACTCTCTCGCCGTCACTGCCTCCAACAGATCAGTAAAGGAGAAAAAGTCCCTTGTGCAAAACGGAAAGTCGACAAGTTCTCACCACATTTCAAATCAGGATCAAACAATGCTCCCAGGGACGTAGGTGTGAACTATCTCTACCTCTTTCCTGCGGACACAGAAAGATTTCCGGAGTAGAAGAGGTACTGTACGTTTCAATTTCCGTGGTTTTAGAGCTAGAGTACCTTTAACTTCATAAAACACACTTGTAGTTAGTCCAACAGAAACAGAATGTATGTCTTTGGGAAAGTAAAATGTTTTCAAATGCAACTCGGACCACAAGAAACAGTCGCAATCTCAGCAGAAAACCTTTTATCTGTTGCGTAAGAAAGAGCCCGATAAGTCACAGTTTGATTCTTTAGGTTGCGAGCTGATTGGTTGTGTGAGGGGGGTCCTCTCTCTTTCACCTTTCTCTCTCAAAAAGCTGATCTTAAGAAGTGATATCTGGTCTCTCTCTCTTGTTTATTTGAAAGTGACATTGTGAATTGATAAATATTTCTGTACATGAGAATTAGCCAAGTAAGCACTTTTTCATCTGCAGTCCCTGGACAGATAAAACAGATGTCACTCTGGTCTCACACTCTGGTCTCATTCTGGTCTCCTGGATCTCTCTGGTCTCGCCCTGGGGTTTCTCTGATCTCTCTCAGCAATCCCTCTCTGGTCTCTCTTTCTGGTCTTTTTCTCGAATCTTTCTGATCTCTTTCCACAATCTCAGTTTTACTTTTCCGACCAAATGCGAGTTCTATCATCCATCATCAAAAAACTATTAATACTCTAATGTTTACAAGGCGGGGGGAGGGGGGAGGGGGGAGGGGGAGAGGCGGAAATGTGGGAAAGAGAAGACATGTGGAGACAAGATGGCCGCTCCATCTGTGCCCGAGGAGCCGCCAGCCTGCACCTGCGCCCCATACGCTCAGAGGAGAGTCCCGATGTAGAAGCACCATCAGCGACTGCTCACAGTTTTACTCTTGATCCACAGTAAAGACACAGCTAAATGAACCGGCAAACAACATCCCAAGAGCGATAGTTTCACACTGTGCTGGGGCGAGGCTAAAACATCTCTCCTGGTAACGATGGTGAGTGCCAAAAGTCAGATTCAAGTCTTAGTTTTGAGTACATTTCTATATTATTCCTGGAACAATCAACACGAAACAAAAACAGTCACATAGTCCCACTTCTTTGTCAGCTATGGTCTCTCGCTGGTCCCTCTCTATGGTCTCTCTTTGGTCTTTCTCTAGTATCTCTCACTGGTCTCTCTCTGGTCTCTCTCTGGTCTCTCTCTGGTCTCTCTCTGGTCTCTCTCTGGCCTCTCTCTGGTCTCTCTCTGGTCTCTCTCTGGTCTCTCTCTGGTCCCTCACTGGCCTCTCTCTGGTCTCTCTGGTCTCTCTCTGGTCTCTCTCTGGTCTCTCTCTGGTCTCTCTCTGGTCTCTCTCTGGTCCCTCTCTGGTCCCTCTCTGGTCCCTCTCTGGTCCCTCTCTGGTCTCTCTCTGGTCTCTCTCTGGCCTCTCTCTGGTCTCTCTCTGGTCTCTCTCTGGTCTCTCTCTGGCCTCTCTCTGGTCTCTCTCTGCTCTCTCTCTGGTCTCTCTCTGGTCTCTCTCTGGTCTCTCTCTGGTCTCTCTCTGGTCTCTCTCTGGTCTCTCCCTGGTCTCTATCTCTGGTCTCTCTCTGGTCTCTCTCTGGTCTCTCTCTGGTCTCTCTCTGGCCTCTCTCTGGTCTCTCTCTGGTCTCTCTCTGGTCTCTCTCTGGTCTCTCTCTGGTCTCTCTCTGGTCTCTCTCTGGTCTCTCAAGAGTTGTGTCCGTTTTGCTCTTGCAGCAATGCTAGTTTCCAATACTTCCGCCGTAAGCTCATTCACAATCACGTGACTGGATGACGTTGATGCATCTGGTCAATATCAGGATTAGACTGACCGAGTCCTGATGTCACTGTTTGTCTTAGTGCAGAGGCTTTTTGTGGAGCCAAATGTCTGCAAAGTTACTAAGAGCCAATCAGGAGCGGCGCCGATCTGTCCCTTCTCCCGCTACTGGCTGCTAAAGTCAAATGCAGCGACAGAAGCTTCCATGATTGGTCAGACCTTAAACGGCTCATATTTGGCCAACAGGAAGCCAATAGGAGCCAGAGCACTTTCCTACTGGGCTTCATGGAGCTAGCGGGTTAGCATTGTTCCTCTGTATCCAGTCTATGCCTTCAATAAATAGAACCAAAAGTGCTGTTTTTTTGTATAAATGAGGCAGAGCGTTGGATAAGGGCAAAGACTTCTTGAATCAAATCAAATTGAAAGTCCCCTATGTCTAAATATTACGGATTGAAATGAAGGGGACTTTCAACATGATTCTCAGCCCTTTTTGTATCGTTAGTTATTATGCTTTTGTACTAGACAGGAAGTACTGCTGCTATGAAATATGAATGTAGAGGTAATGGTCCGGAAAAGCAAGAGAACCATCAGAGCAACACGACCTCAGCCTGTTCTGAAGTTATGGCCGACACCAAAAATGAGGTCTCACACTTGCAGAGCAGGTTTTCTGTGAACCACTGGATTAATATCTATACTCCTGATCAATCACAGTGATGTCACTTCATGATCTTCATGATTATGAAAAGTCACAAATGCAAAAGGGACGACCATGAACAAAAAGTGCTACAAGACCGTGGCCCGAGCTCTGGTGTTATCTTCTGGAGCACCCTGGGGTGGTCCTGCAGTTTTTACAATGTGGTTTTACTGCAAATAAGATTCGAGAATACATTTTGGAAACGTGAAGAGAAAAAACTCTAAACAGATTAAAAACATTCAAAACGTACACTATTCCACCCGATTACACTGTGCAGACAGTACACAAAAACTACATACGACTAAAAGGATCAAAAACATCTAAACTAAAAGTGAAAAGGATAAAAAGTCCCGTTATAAAAGATGGAAAAACTCTCACTGTTATGAAGATCAGAAAAGTGAATGAAAACACTTTTCAAAGAGATTAAAGTTTTTAAAGTACTGCATTACTGCAAATATTATAATACATAGAAGTATAAAAAATGTATAATCTAAAAAGATCAAAATAATTTAAAACAAAACAATGAAAAAGACTAAATATTTTTTTTTAATATTCAAAAACCCATTTTAAAAGATAAGAAAAAGTTTCGACATTATGTACAAAAGATACAAGCCAAAAAATTACAACCAAAAGTAAAATCTTCAATGAGACGATAAAACCGAACAAACCAAAGTAAAACATGTGAAAATGAATGAAAACGCTGCAAAAAAACCAAACCAGATCAGACGGTGATGAGCCACAGAGCGCTCCACAAACACATTCATTAGTTTCTCTGTTTCCGTCGGTTACACACGACCGTTACCAAACCTTACCTGAAGCGGCGCCAACTGCCGCACCAGGTTGGCGTGCGGCACGTCACAGCGCGACGTCCAGATGTACGTGTCTTTGGGCCACGGCTTTCCTTTGCCTTTCTTCCCTTTGGACGGACTCTTCTTGGCGTCTTTGGGACTCTTGGACCGGTGCGCGTGAGCCAGGTGCGTCGGGAGCGTGCTGTAGCCGTAGCCCGCTAACGCCGCGCACATGGGCAGCGGGTGGTGGAACGGGTGGATGGACAGAGACTGCGACGCGTGCGGCAACGGCGGCGGTAGGCAGTGGTGGTGGAAGAGACCCGGCTGCCCGAGATGATGATGGTTGTGCGGTAGGTGATGGTGACCGGGGCACGCGTGGAGCTGGTGCTGGCTCGGCGATACGTGCATCTGGTGTTGAGAAAGCGATAAATGCATTTGGTGATGACTGGGCGACACGTGCAGCTGATGGTAGCTCGGAGAATGCGGCACCAGGTTGGGCGAAGGCGGGGCCAGCTGGTAGGACGAGCCCGGTATGTGGTAGTAGCTCGGCGAAGGCGACGGCAGCAGCGAGTGTTTCTTGGGCGAGTGCAAAGGCGAGGGCTGGTTGTGTTGGTGGTGGTTTGGGGTTAGAAAGTTGGAATGGTGCTTGGTGTGGTGGTGGCCCTTCCCCGTTTTGGACTTGGACTTTGCCGATTTGTGAGGTTTTTTGGGGCTGCAGCAGAACTCTCGGCTCTGGAAGTAGGTGGTCATGTTGGCGAGTTACAAATACAGCTTGTGTTCCAGCAGCGTTTAAAAAAAGGTGACGGGATATTCAAAGAACCGTCCGATCGTCATTTCAACACAAACGTTTGGGTTTACGGAAATATTTTGAAGGTGTTCACAGATTTACTTGGCTTCACGGTTCTGAGATTTTTCCTAAAGAAATGGGAACTTTAGTGTATTAACCAGCATCATGAAGCGATAATAAGACCCACTGTTGCGTGTTAAGTTGTTGGCAAAATGAATGTCTCTCATATAAATTTAAATGCATTCAAAGTAAGACATAGAGTTACGGACAATACTCACTCTACTCCACGCCAATTTCTACGTTTTTCTACATATCATTTGTCTTTCTAGTCACAGCTGACAAACAAGGACAGTTTTTAAAAAGGCTTTAGAAACATGGATCACGAGTCTGAGTTCAGCAAACATACAAGCCGCTTGGGAGTCTAAAACACATTGGTAGATTGGTCAAACAGCCTATAACGATGGGGATCTTCAAAGGATATCCATAAGGTGATATCGCGACACGCCAGCAAAGATTTTCCAGGAATTTGCTTCTAACGATGTTCAGATGTTTCTCCAACACATTTACAGTCCAAACACTTCAGAAATACATCATTTTGAGAGAAAATCTTGCCATGGACACAATTCAACACTGGGTTTCCGTCCAAGTGGCAAGAGCTCTGGTGTGTGTCGTCTGGTGCACACTGGGGTAGTCTTGCACAGTTTTTCCTATGTGGTTTTACTGCAAATGGCAAATAAATGAATCTGATCTGAATCTGAAAACTACGAGAAACCTTCCATCGCAGAACTTTCGCCTCAGTTTTGATGTGCGCACCGCGGACCCTCAAGACTCCATCATGACATTATGTGCGGTCATGCCTTTTCTTTCTTTCTTTGCGGCGGTGAAAGCAGCTCTTGCCGTCAATTGTGTCCGAATAATGTAGGTCAAGTTTTTTTTCAGTGCAGCCTGGCAGCTCTTATCTCCTCATTTGTCAAGAAACAGCACAAATCAGGAGTGCGTTTGCTTGCGTTTCAGTCCGTTTTCGGTGTTGGAACAGAGCTATTGCACCTTTAATCAGCACTTTTACTCTTACTCACTCTTACTTTTAGTTTTCTTCCCAACCGGAGAGTTTAGACCTTTTACATGAGAAGTCAGACAGCCAACAAACAACGCTTACGCATTTGGAATTGTTGTTGCGATTTCGTTAAGTTCTTAAACCTGTCCAGCTAACTCTTGGATCAATGGCGTCTTGGGTTGTCTCTGCTTCACGGCGCAAGTGAAGTGTGAAATCTTGGAATCCTTCAAACCAAACCGGGCATCACTGGATGTCAAAAAACGTTGCATCTTTCCGAGTCAAAAGATTCCGCGATAACCTATGAACCTTCCGTCTTCTCTGTCAACAATTGCTCCGAATTCCCAGAAAGTAGTTGTGTAGTAGTTCCGCGGCCGTGTCAGTCCTGCAGGGTTAGTGATGGCTGGTTGAATGGCTCCGTCTCCAGCCTCCCAGCCTCCCTCTCTCTGCCTCGACGAGACCTTATTAGAGTGGTCCCTGTGTCCCATGCACAGCTCTGCAGCCAGGCATGAGTAATGGGACCAGGCCAGAGCCCACGTAACAAAAGAGACGCACACTAAGGATGGTCCAGGAGCAAATCAACACTTTGTACCGTCACGTTTGTGCTTTTAAAGTCCAACAAAATCATCAAATTCAAGGAAAAATTGTTAAGAAATGGATCCATGAAAAGACCTGCAGCTGCTTTTACTTCATTTGGTCAAACAGCCTCTAACAAAGTTTTCCATGTGGTGAAATCACGACGCGCCAAAAAAAGGTATTCAGGAAATTAGCTTCAAAAAATATTCAGATGTTTCCCCAACATCTGTGCAGTTCATTCACTTCAGAAACGCATCACTTTGAGGGAAAATTTGACCATAGACACACTTCAATTGTGGGTTTTCAGCCAAAACTTTCCCCTTGGTTATAGAATGGTTCACAAATCAAGCCACTCTGGGGAAATGCCAATTACTTTTATTTATTTGATGTGGACATAACAATAACACTGGACGAACCCGAGGCATTTACAGTCTTACAGCACAGGTGCTAGTTTTCAACACTAGTCCACAGGGGGCATTTGTAGTTGATGCGAGGCGGCCCAAGAATTTACAGGGGAAATATGGGGAGTGCTGCCATCAGAGCGAGACCACAGAGAGAGACCAGAGAGAGAGAGAGCAGAAAGAGAGACCAGAGAGAGAGACCAGAGAGAGAGACCACAGAGAGAGACCACAGAGAGAGACCACAGAGAGAGACCAGAGAAAGACCACAGAGAGAGACCAGAGAGAGAGACCACAGAAAGAGACCAGAGAGAGACCAGAGAGAAACCAGAGAGAAACCAGTGACAGAAAGGGACGAGAGAGAGACACCAGAAAGAGAGACCAGAGAGGATAAAAACCTCATTCACAACTACCACAAAAGAATCCAAACTGACAGATGTTAAAGAACAACACAAACTATTGAGAACTGGGGGATGGAGACTTTTGATCAGGGTCGGGAGAGGGGATTCAAACCTCATCCTCATTTAGAGAGAAAATAATACTTCTATTTTTCATTAATGGTATCACAAAAACATCAAGAATTAGGGGATTTGTGTTTCATCCTTAAGTCACAACATCAGAGAGCAATTTTCTATCCTTTAAAACAAAAGTACTGCCCCCAGTGTTCAGTTTGGGGAACTGCTTCGGTGACATCACATTCTTTAAAACTGGATTCCTCGTGAGGAGGACGAGGGAGCGACATTTGGGACGCAGCCGTGGACTCACTCAGTCCTCTTTGTGGCTCAGCTCTCTCAGGCCTGGAGCTAACAGCACTTAGCTCTCACTGGCCCAGGACCAAGTCAGGACTACAGGGGACTGGAGCTCTACTGCCCCCTACTGACAGCACTGGGGACTGAAACACTATAAAACCCCTGAGAGACACAACTGTGGAACTGTCTTCACTGCCACTGTAAGAACAGCAGACTTAAAGCTGGGGGACGTATTTTTACACGTTTCATTACACATGTAGTTTGTCCAGGCTAA